GGATCTGACCCAGGGTTGACCCCGGTACCACAGACAGTCTCCCCAAGCCCATCGGGAGGTCCCTGAGGACAGGGCCCAGAGTCAGCCCTGCACTCCTCTGGGTGTGACCCACCAGACCAAAGCAAAGCAGAGTCGCAGTGCTCAGGGCCAACAGTGCGACAGGCGACAGGCGTGAGGTGGGGACAGCCGCGGGTGGCGGAACAGGCGCTGCCCTGGGCGCCTGGCGTGCCTCGCAGCCACTTTCTGATAAAAACAGCTATTCCTGGAGATGACCCTGGCACTTTCCTGAAGTTGCTGTCACAGTTTGTCCTGTTCTCACGGGGCCTCTGTTGACCTTCGTTCCACATACCAAAAGGCCACGTCTTGGGAAAAGCCTGACTGTCCTTAGGGGGCAACCAACCCTGTAAGAAAACAGCAGATGCAGAATCGCTGCAGGAAGGCAGCGAGGAAAGGCTGAGGAGAGGAGGGTGGGGCTGAGGGAGGCCCAAGTTCAGCCTGAGCAAAGACCCTGGGGAAGGAGAGAGCAGGCAGAGAGATGGGACAGGTGTGAGGACACCTTCCTGGCACATGGCTGACCTGGTCCCACCTCACCCTGCATAGGGCTCCAAGCATGGTCAGGAGTGAGCCCTGAGCACAGAGTCGGGAGTAATCCCTGAGCACTACCAAGTGGGGCCTCAAAAGAGAAGGAAAAGAGAGCATTTGCCTAACTGGAAGATAAGTGTAGAACCCCTGCCCTTGGGGCTGGGAAGGAGAGGGATGAAGCCCCCCAGGGGATGCCCAGACCACCCAGTCCAAGACTCCCATTTCCCTCCCCTGAGAAAGGCCGGGATGCCGGAAGAAGGCCAAGTCCCTAAACTCAGTGAGCAGTGCTCACCCACCACCAACCCCTAAACTCGGTGAGTAGTGCTCACCCACCACTGTGGTAGAGGTGACAGAGGGCAGCAGTTTTTCTGGGGTCTGCTCAGGCTTCTGCCATGTCTGGAGCACCGCCCCCCCCCCCATTCTCCTCTCCTTCCCTGGAGGACTCCCTTCCCAGGATGCGGCTCTGATGCCTAAATGCAACCCACCCCCTGGGCAGTGTGGAGGCCCCTACACCCTGCTGCCACCCCACAGACGGCTCCCTTCCCCTGGCCCCTCCTCTCCACACACACACTGCCTGGTCAAACACACAGGAGCCTCTTGCAGGGCTGCTTCCTCTTTCTAGAAGCTTCAGCACTGATAAAGTTCTGATAACAAACATCCTGTCCCGGAGGCTTCCTCAGGGGCTTTGCCTCTGTGGGGTGTCACCCCCACCCTACAATCCACCAGCCCATGGAGACACAGGGGGGGGGGGTGAGGGAGGTGACTACAGCAGCGTCTGAAGGGGGCAGGGGGCTGTGTAAGGTGAGAGATCCAGTCCCGTCTTCACGGGCCTGACTCGCTCCAGGTAGATGGGCCTGGGGGAGCAGAACCCCCAGATGGTTCCAGTGGGGGCCGGAGAATTGGAGAAGTGAGCAGTGGCCAGGGCCCTGTTGCAAGGTTTGGCACAAGAGTGTCCAGCCCCAAGAGGAGGGGCACGTTGTGGGTATGTGAGTGTGTGTGTATGTGTGTATGTGTGAATGTATGTGTGTGAGTGTGAGTACGAGAAAGTGTGTATCTGTGTATGTGTGAGTATCTGAGTGTGAAAGTCTGTGTGTGTGTGTGTGTGTATGTGAGTGTATGTGTGTGACAGTGAATGTCTGGGTGTGTGTGTATGTAAATGTGTATGGGGCAGAGGGACATTGGCTCAGTGTGACAGAGGACAGAGAGAACATGGGAAGGCAGCATCCGAACTCACAGCTAACTGGGGTCCTCTAAGCCCCACCAGGAGTACTCCCTGAGCACTGAACTAGGAAACAGCTCTGAACACCACCAATTGTGACTCTCCCCCCAAAACCCAAACAGACAAAAATCAAAGATTTAAAGCTGGATACAAAATGGGCGGAGCGATAGCACAGCGGTAGGACGTTCGCCTTACAAGTGGCCAACATGGCCGACCTGAGTTCGATTTCTCCGCCCCTCTCGGAGAGCCCGGCAAGCTACCGAGAGTATTCGATATGCCAGACACAGTAACAACAAGGTCTCCAATGGAGACGTTACTGGGCCCGCTCGAGCAAATCGATGATCAACGGGAGGGCCTTTACCTTTACCTTTACCTTACAAAATGGCTGCAGAGGGGCCCGAGTGATGGCACAGCGGCTGGGGTGCTGACCTTACACGTGGCTGACCCGGGTTTGATCCCCAGCACTGCCAGGAGTGAGCCCTGGGCATTGGGTGCCCCACCCCTGCGCCCCCAAGCAGGGCTGGAGAGATAGTATAGGCCTGACACTCGCCTGCGCAGGCAGGCAGCGGAGCCTGGGCCCTGGCAAAGCAAAGGGGCCCGGCAATCTCCCTAGACTTCAGAAATGCTCAGAGCTGCAGGCCTGCGCCCGACGGAAGCGTAGCAGAAGGCGCGTGACACTGGGTAGGGGAGAGGAGGGGGTGCCGCTGGGCTGGCCCACATGGGGTGAGAGCAAGTTGCTACCCTGAGTCCGAACTTCTCTGGGGCTTCGCTGGAGCTGGGCATCTCCGTGTCCAGGAGAAAGTGCTCACACTCACAGCCCCGTTTCTCCACACTCCTCCACGTGGTGCCTGGCATCAGGCCCATGGTGTCCTGAGGTCCAGGCCTGAGCAGCCACACGGAGCTGGGCCAGGGTGAGGAGCCAGCCCCAGCTCCGGGAGTTTTGTGAGGATTAGCACGGCATTTGCAGCTCTCAACAGGTGGGGGCCATCTTGGGGATCTGGGGATGGACACAGGGAGAACGCCTGGGGCTCAGAGGGTCCCTTGGAAACCTGAGGGGGAGGCCATGCGCTCGGACAGCCCATGTTTCTCGAGGAGTGAAGAGCAGACGCACAGCCCAGCCCCACCCCAGCCAGAACCCATGAGGGGCATCCGGCCAGGGTGTGGGTCCAGCAGATGCAGACGCAGTGACGCCACGAGCCCTCCGTGGATGGCCCTTGACCCTGGAACAGTGCACGGTGACCTGCTCTAGCCCTGGCCAGAATCCACGTGTGGCGCCTGTTGACGTCATGCTGTGCGTGAGTCAGCCTGTTTGTGTCTGACATGAACGAGATGCAACTGTCCATGCCGGGGGCTGGAGCAACAGCAAATGAGTTAAGGCCCTGCCTTGCAGGCAACTGACCTGCGCTTGATCCCCAGCAGCCCAGAGGGTCTCCTGAGCCCTACCAGGAGTGATTCCTGAGCACAGAACCAGGAGTGACCCTGAGCACTGCCAGCTGTGACCCAAAAACCAACCAGACAAAAATTCTAAGTCCCTTGGAGTTTCCTGGCGCCAGAAGCTGAGTCTTGCTCATCACTTTCCCATCAGCACCTGTGGGGGACTGGCTGCTGGCAGCCCTGCCCTGCACCTCAGTTTCCCTCTGGGGCTTCCCAAGTGTGTGCAGGAGTAACTCAGACTCTTTTCTTTTTTCTTTTTTCGCTTTTTGGGTCACTCCTGGCTCTGCACTCAGGAGTTACTCCTGGCGGTGTTCAGAGGACCATATGGGATGCTGGGAATCGAACCCCGGTCGGCCGCATGCAAGGCAAACGCCCTACCCGCTGTGCTATCTCTCCAGCCCCATAACTCAGACTCTTTACTGACTGCTTCCAAAGCAGAAACAAGGAATAGATCCCAGCAGCCTGAGGGGCTCCGAGAGCTGGCTTCGAGAGCTGACGCTGCAGAAGGCAGGTGCACAGGCTGGGTTTTAGAAACATTTGAAAGAGGCTTTTATTTGGGATCACAAGAAACCACAATAAGAAGCGAGTGAGCACACATGTGCCCTCAGGCAGGGAGTCAGCCCAGGGCCACAGCCACCACAACCCCGGGACCTTCAGGAGCCCACTCTCCTGCCAGGGGCCAGCGCTGGCCACTCAGAGCCATCGCCCAGCCAACCACTGTCTTCGCGTCTCCCCGGCAGTGTCTGGGGCCTTGCCTGGGACAGTGAGAGGCCACTGCTCGGGCGCTCTGAAGGGGTCCGTCCCCTCTGTCACAGCACACGGGCGATCAGTGCGGATCCCAGTCCGTGAGTCCCAGGAAGTCAGGTGCGTGGGCTTTGAGGGAATCCTTCCCAATGCCTCAAACTGCATGGGCCTGGGTGTGGAGAGAACTGAGTAGCTCTGAGGAAGTAACCTAACCTCTCTGAGCCTCGATGTTTCTGCTGGCTAAATGAGCCTGCTCACAGCATCAAGGTGACACTTATCTGATTCTTTTACCAGTGCCTGGCTACAGGAATGTGCATGCAGGGGTGGGAGAGGTGTGCGTGCAGGGGTAAGGGAGGTGTGCGTGCAGGGGTCGGGGAGATGTGTGTGCAGGGGTAAGGGAGGTGTGCGTGCAGGGGTCGGGGAGATGTGTGTGCAGGGGTGAGGGGGGAACGTATGTGTGCAAGGTGAGGAAGGGAGGTGTGTGTGCAGGGGGGAGGTGAGTGTGCAGGGTGAGGGAGGGGTGCGTGCAGGGGTGAGGGGATTGGTACATGCAGGGGTGAGGAGAGGGTGCGTGCAGGGATGCAATGTTTTTAAGAGGCTTCGTGCCTCCCTACTTGAGAAGCTCGGTTGTGAGCTTGGTTGTTCTGTCCTTCTCCTCTCCTCAGAACAGAATGTTCTGTCCTCTCAGAGCTCCGGTTTCCCTCCAGCTCTCCCACTTCCGGTGCTTCTGGAATTCCCTCCCCGGCCTGTGGCTCTGTGCAGTCTTTTCACAGTCCCCCCGGGGCATCTCCAGCCTCTCCCAGGCCCGGGGGCTCGGACATCGCTCTGCTTTCAGGTGGGCATCTGGATCCCACTGTCAGTGACAGCCACACCCTCTGGGTGGGCGGCTCAAACCCGGGAAATAAATTGCGTCCAGTTGGGTGCCCTCCGCATGTGGACAGTGCCTCGTCCTGCCTTTGGCTGCTCAAGCCTGTCTGTCCGCGTCCACAGAGACCCCAGTGCCCCGGCTCAGCAGCCAATGCCCTCTGCAGTCCCCGAGGGGCTGAGCTCCAGGGTCCCGCCTCGGCTTGGGGCTGATGAGCCACAGGTGGGGCCACAGATGCTGCAGCCCCCCAGAAATGAGCTCTGAGCTAGAGTGGCCAAACCTGTCACCACAGCAACTCGGGCCCTCCTGCCTCGTGGTCCCTTCCAGTGCCCCAGATGAGGGAGAGGGTGCAGCTGCCTGGACCCTGAGACCTCCCTGCTCACCGCTGCCACCAGCGGGCCTGGAAACCCAATCTGCAAACACCCAAACCCAAAACTGCCCAGCCAGGGACAGGCAGCCCGCAGGGGCTGCAGGCGGACAGAGCATCTCAAGGGCCCCGATTCCCACGGGTGCTGGCCTAGGTGGCCCCATGCCCCCGGCCGGGGCAGAGCGAGTTCCAGGGTCGAGGCAGGCTGAGCAGCAGGAAGCAGCCGCCCCCCAGCAGCAGCAGCAGCCCCCCCGCGGCCGCACAGCCGAGGGACCACGAGTACTCGAGGGTCAGCACGGGTGCCAGGGGGGGCTCCGGGTCCACTCGGCGCAGAAGTGCATGCACTGACTGCCGGAACACCTCCAAAGTGACCAGGAGCAGCAGCCCTGTAGGGACAAATGAGACAGGGCGGGTGACCGAGCAGCCTGCAGGGACAGGACCCAAGATTGGCCTGAGCATCTCCCCTGCTGCCCCTCATTATGAACCAGAGGGGAGGCCAGATAGCACAGCGGGAGGGTGTCTGCCTTGCACGCGGCAGATCCAGGTTCGATCCCGGCATCCCATATGGTCCTCTGAGCACCACCAGGAGTGATTCCTGAGCACCCCCGGGTTTGGCTCCAAAACTAAAAAAAAAAAAAAAACAGAAGCAGTGGAAAGGCAGGCAAGAGGGGCAGGAGCTGCCCACTTGCACATGGCAGCGTCACCACCCAGATGGTCCCTGCCACCTTGCAGGTTCTCCGAGCGGCTGGTGGACCTCAGAAAAAAAAAAAAAGCTTCCAGGGGGCAAGGAAGGGAAGGAACTGGAAGTAAGAGGCAGAGACATGGGAGGGGAGAAGTGGGCAGTTAGTGAGGACAGAGTTCAGGCCAGGGGTGAGGACGGAGGGAGCCGCCAGTGGAGCAGCAGGTTAAGAAACTGAGGGCCACACCCAGGGGCCAAGAGTGGGGCAGAGGGTAAGAGGGCTTGGGGGTGCATCTCCTCACGTTGAGAGAAAAGCTGGGAGATAGGACAGTGGGTGGAGCACTGCCTGCACCTGTGGGCCTAGGCTTGATCCCAGCACTTCATATGGCCCAATGGGAATAATTCCCAAGCACAGAGCCAGGAGTCAGCTCTGAGCACTGCTGGGTGGGGACCGAGCCCTAAAGCCAGAAGGAAAGTGAGAGAAAGAAAGAAAAGGAGGGGCTGGAGTGATAGCACAGTGGGTAGGGCATTTGCCTTGCATGCAGCCAACATGACCGACACAGGTTCGATTCCCAGCACCCCATATGGTCCCCTGAGCACCTCCAGGAGCAATTCCTGAGTGCATGAGCCAGGAGTAACCCCTGAGCATTGCCAGGTGTGACCCAAAAAAAAAAGCAAAAAAAAAAAAAGAAAGAAAGAAAAGGAAAGGAAGGAAGAAAGAAAGAAAGGCAGGAAGAAAGTAAAAGAGAAAGAGAAAAAGGAAGAGAGAAAGCAAGAAAGAAAGAAAGGCAAGTAAAAGAAAAGCGAAAAGCAGAGGCCGGGAGAGGTGGGGCCGAGCCTCAGCCATGCACACGTGAGACCTGAGTCTGATCCCGCTGTGCCTGGAACCGAGCACCCTCCCAAGAGCATCTGCATTTGGGATCCCTGGTGACACAGCAAGTGTGACACACAATCAACAGTGGGGGCCGTAGGCTGGTTTGGGGGGCTCCCAAGATTGCTCAGGAGGCCGGGTGGGTCCCACCAGTGACTCAGAAGACTACGTACCAGGCCTCTGAGGCCACCCCCAGGAGTTACTCCCTGCAGGCTTGGGGGACCCTCTGTGGAGCGGGGGATTAAAACCAGGTTTACTGTATGCGAGGCAGTACTTTATCCCCTTCCTAATTCTGGGGCCGGGGTGGGGACGCACTCATAAGAGCTAAAGCCAACTCCAAAAGCAGAAACCAAAAAGCGCAGAGTCAGGTAGCAAGCTCTGCAGTGACTGAGTCTACAGGGCACCTGGCTAGTGAGGGGTTGGGAGTGAGGGGCAGAAGTCATGCCCCGGAAGTGATGTGGCAGAGCACTTGGTATGTGTGATGCCCCGGGTTCAGTCCCCAGCATCATAAAAGGAAAAAGAAGAAAAAGAAGGAATCAGATAGAGACTGTTGACCCAGTGGCTTGCTCACCACCTGAAGGGTCAGCCAAGAGATGGAGCTGGACTCGCCCAATCCTGAGTTTGCAGGAGGCAAAGACAAAGAGTTCCTAAATGAGGCTGTCGGTGGGGTGGTGGGCACAGAGAGGTTCAGGCCCAGTGCGGCCCAACCGTACCCCTAGAAATCCTAGAGCCCCAAAGGCTCAGTCAGAAGTGGGATTCTTTCTCTTTGTTTTATTTTAGTCTTTGGGCCACACCCAAAGCTGGGGGCTGCTCTGGGCTGAGTGCTCGGGGCAGGGTGCTCCTGGCAGCCAAGGGATGAGGCCTGCTTCTCCGGGCCTGCACTCAGTCTGTTGAGTGAACCCTCTCCAACCGACCCGGGCTCTGAAATTCTTGAAATAGTTGTGATGTGATTTGGAAGCCGCCCAGTCTTTAAATATCTCTGAGAAGTCTTGAAACTCTGCCCGAAAACAAAGTACATTTACGGGCCATTGCTGGCCTGGCTGCAACTTTCAAAATACATACATGACAAGATAATTTCAACAGTGATGCACCCCGTGACAAGAGGATGGTGGTGGCATCTGAGAATATTGGTACAGGGACTCTGGTGGTGTCTTTGAGAAAAGTCACTGGAGGGTGGAGAGCGGTCAGCCTTGCAGCAAGCCAAAAGAAAGAGGGATGGCCTATCCCAGCAGGAGGAATGGCTGGTACAAAGGCCCTGGGGCAGGAAGGAGGAGTGTGTGAAGAAAATAAAGGGGCTCAGTGTGAGCAGAACACAGAGGGTGGGAGGGGAGCACAGGAAGTGGGGAGAGATTCACAGAGGGTGGGGGAGCACATAAACTGTGGGGAGACACGCAGGAAGTGGGGAGGAGCACCGAAAGCGGAGCAAGGAAGTAGGGAGGCAATAGCAGTGCAGAGGGGGCAGCACTCAGATTGGGTGGGACCACTTGAGGGTGACCCCACATGATGGATCCTAGTGGCTACTCCTGGAGCGTGTGGCTGTGTGGATAGACAGGTGGGTAGACAGATGGGTGGAAGTGTGGGTGGACGGACAAATGGATGGAAAGTTAGAAAAATGAAACCTTGAATGAATGAGTTCCTGAACATGAGGCCATTTAGGCCCAGGGATAGAAAAAGATTTGCCCAAGGTCAGGCAGTTGTGAAGAGGTTGATGTCAGCCCAGGCCTTCCCATCCCCTGAGCAGTTCCTGCCCCTCTTCCTCTCCAGCACCCTTCCTACCCCATCTTCTTTCAGGACTTCGACCTCACCAAACTTTCTAGCTGCTGACCTATGATTTTTTTTTTTTTTTATATATTTGGTCACACCAGCAGTGCTGAGGGCTTACTTCTGGCTCTGTGCTCAGGGGTCACGCCTGGTGATGCTCAGGGACCACATGGAAATCGAACCCAGGTTGGCCACATGCAAGGCAAGTACCCTCCTTGCGCTGGACCCACTCTGGCCCTGACCCGTGCTTTAATAGTGGAAGCGTTGGCTCCTCAGCTCTCCAACCTGTGACTTGGGAGTTTGAACCAGGGTTGCAGCCCCAGAAGCCACATGCAAGTCTGCTCTCCTGTACTATCTCCCAGCCCCGTCTGCTTCACTGTATCTCTCTAGCCCTGAGAACAGCGCTCAAAACATAGTAAATGCGTACAGACCTGCACATGAAGCCTGTATAAGCAATGGCCTTCCCATTTCCCCTTGAAAACCTTTGCTCCAATGAGGACTTTACTTCGAAAGATATCGCTTTTTTTGTTTGTATCTTTTGTTTTTGGCCACACCCGACTGTGTTCAGGCTTACTTATAACTCCATGCTCAGGGATCACTCCCGGAGGGGTTTGGGGGACCATATGGGATATAGGGATTGAACCTGGGTTGGCTGTGAGAAGGGCAAGCACCTTACCTACTGTACTATCTCTACAGCCCCAGTACCACTGTTTTTTGTTTGTTTTTTTTTTACCCTCAACTTCTGGAGACCCTACAATTGCAAATCAACAACAGGGTTTGGAATTCTCTCATATTTGAGACTTCTTTTTCAGGAGGGAGCTTTTTGGAGTTACTCCTGGCTCGACACTCAAGAATTACTTCGGGTTGGGCTGGAGTGATAGCACAGCGGGTAGGGCATTTGCCTTGCACACGGCCGACCCAGGTTCAATTCCCAGCATCCCATATGGTCCCCTGAGCACCGCCAGGAGTAATTCCTAATTCCTGAGTGCAGAGCCAGGAGTAACCCCTGTGTATCGCACTGTGTGACCCAAAAAGCAAAAAAAAAAAAAAAAGAATTACTTCGGGTGGTGCTTGTGGGACCATATGGGAGTCAGGGATTGAATCCAGGTTGGCCACATACAAAGCAAATGCCCTACGTGCTATCCTATCGCTCTGGCCCATACTTGAGACTTCCATGTTCTTTGAGATTCCTCCAGTATCTCTCAGTATACAAAGGAACACTTTATCTCCCATCATGCAACAGTGCTTGGAGACCCCCCACTTCCCAGCATGCAACAGTGCTTGGAGTCCCATTTCCCAGTTGCAACAGAGCTTGGACACCCATTTCCCATCATGCAATAGTGCTTGAAAATCTTACTTCCAATCATGCAAAATTTAAAACATTTAAAATGTTTATAGACATTCAAATATCCAGGTAACAAGTCAGCACTAGGTCTTGGAATCCTCCTTTTTTTTTTTTTAGGTTTTTGGTTCACAACTGGTGATGCTCAGGGGTTGCTCCTGGATCCATTCTCAGAAATCACTCCTGTTCTCCTGTTGGGCTCAGGGTACCATATGGGATGGAACCCAGACACATCAAGGCAAGTGCCCTACCCACTGTATTATCACTCTGGCCCTTCATTCTCCTATCTTTGCACCCACTCTAGCCCTGGGCATCCCCCAACCCTACAATGCTCAGATCCTCCCAGCAAGAGCTAAATTCAGTCTCTGGCTCTCAAACCTCACCTGAGATGCCGAAGCAGATGGCTCCCACGCGGAGCAGGAACTCTGCGCCCTGCGTGAGCACCATGATGATACAGAGGCACCCCAGGGCCGTGCTGAGCAGACCAAGCACTGCTATCACTGCAGCTGCCAGATTCACCTCTGCAAGCATAAGAAAGGGAAGAATGGGTGAAGAACTTGAGATGCAGGGACTGTGAGAACACCTCTCTGTGGACCCGGAACCAGAGAGGAAGACTCACAACTAGAAAAAGTCTTGCAGCTGGCACATGACCCAGTCCAGGGTTTTCCTGAGGCCTCAAGAAGGAACTAAACTAGTCAGAGTCAGCATTGGTCAGGAGGTGATAACTGCCAACCGCTGCTTCCAGGTCAAGGAAATGCTTCTGGGTCAAGAAAACCGAGGCAGTGGGCAGAGAAGGTGGAAGGCTGCAAAGGAGTGGTGTGAGTCAGAATCCACTCGAGTGCATTCTACCTTCCTTCCTATATAGACGATCCTGATCAACTCACTGGGCCTCTCTGATCTCAGCGTCCCCCTGCAGAGAACCAGGACAGCAGCCCCAGGCAGATGGAGCTCTGATGGGCTCCAGGAGACTGTGTGAGCCGTGACCAGCACAGTCTTGCACACACTGGGTAGAGCATGTGCCAGCTGAAAGAGAAGTTCCACTTCTGGTCACACCAGCCTCCCCAAAGCCACCTGAGGCTGGTAGCAGCCCTGCTGGTCTGAGCAGAGAGACCACTTCTGCCTTACCTACAAATGCCCCCGATGCAAGCCCTGGTTTGAAATTGGGATGGTGTGAGTTCGATTCCTGCCTCTGCCACATGCAGAGGAGAAGATGAATCATCCTTGGATCCCCATTTTCTCAGCAGAAAGGTGGAAATGAACCGTCTACCCCATGAGTAAAGTACACAGGGTCCTGGAGACGCGCAGACAGCATGCCTGTGGCCAGGGCTGAGCTGAGACAGGAACATTGGGGTCCTGGAGAACCCTACTCTGCCACTGCAGGGAGGGGCTCCTGACCTCCCATCCAGGACCTGGAGTAGAGCTAAGCCCATCTGGGCAAAGCCTTGGAGGCACAATGCCACCAAGAACTTGGGCTGGCAAGCTTGGGTTCCCTTCCACCCATCGCCAAGTTCTTACCTCTCTTTGTGGTTCTCTGGAAGATGTGCGCATTCTCCCCCGTGGTGAAGAACTTAAAGTAGGTGCAGTTTGCATCTGGGGGTGGGGGGGGCAGAGAGAGAAAGGAGTAGGGATGACTTAGCCAGCCCAGGGGTGGGGGTGGGGGTGGAGAAGCTGGGAAGTGGATGCTGAGCAGTGCACACACACACACTCGCACGTTTGGTGTGGGTGTAATGCTCATGCTCTGACAGCGAGAAGGGTGCTGAGAGGCTGCAGAAGTCAGAGCAGTGACCTGGTCCTCCATCCCAGAGCTCCGAGGGCCAGATCTGCAGCCTCAGAACAGTCTGGTAAGCTCTTGGGGTTCTCATTGTTCCTCTAGCAAATGAAGTCAGTGACTCCTTCCTGGCTCTGTCTATACAGGTTTGTCGAGGGTCAAGCAAGATCAGGATGAATAATTATGCACCAACAAAAAAGACACTGAGACACAGCATGGAGGGTTAACAGACTCGAGGAGAGTCCTTGGGACTGTCTCTGGAATATACAAAGGACCCCCACAGGCCGGCAAGAAAAGCAGCAGCTTAAACTGATTGAAAATAGGGCAAAGGCCAGGAGGTGTCCATTCCGAGCACAGTTCACTCGGGTGAGCACAATCGAGGGAGCTCTCTCCACCCCAGGGATCAGAGAAAGCTCCCCCCACCAAGCAACAGGGACGTGCACTCTCGGTCCATTAGCTCGGAGATATGAAAAGGAGGATAAGAGGCAGCAAGGCGTGTGAACTGCCACTCGCTGCTCTGGAGGCACCTGACATTCTCCAGGAGAGGAAGCAGAGCCCACAGTTCTGCTTTTGTGTCTGTGTCTGGACAAAACCCAGTTGTAGGCAGACACACTGCAGAATTGTTTGTGGTGACAGGGGACAGCTGCCAGCTGTGTGTGTGACTCAGAGGAGAGCAGGCCAGGGGAACAGTTCCAGGAGAATCTGCGGCCCAGGGGACCTTGAGTTAGAGCACAGAAAGCACTGGGACAGATTCAAGAAATGCGGATGCAAGTAAAGCAAGGGCAGGGGCGAGAGGGAGGGATAGTACAGTGGGTAGGGCGTTTGCCTTACACTCGGCCAACCTGGGCTTCATCCCCAGCATCCCATATGATCCCCCAGCACCGCCAAGAGTAATTCCTAAGTGCAGAGCCTGTAGGAACCCTTGAGCATTGCCGGGTGTGACCAAAAAAGACAAAAAGAAAAACAAGGGTACATGGCCCGAGCAATAGTAGAGTGGGGAGGGGGCCGGAGCGATAGCACAGGAGGTAGGGCGTTTGCCTTGCACGCAGCCAACCCTGGTTCGATCCCCGGCATCCCATATGGTCCCCCAAGCCAGGAGTAATTCCTGAGTGCAAAGCCAGGAGTAACCCCTGAGCATTGCTGGGTGTGACTCAAAAAGAAAAAAAAAGGAAGAATGGGGAGAGTGTTTACTTGCACATGGCAGACCGGACAGATCTCAAGCACCCCATATGGCCTTTAGGACTTCCTCCAGCAGTGATTCCCGAGTCCAGAGCCAGGAGTCAGCCCTGAGCACCATTCAGATGTAGCTCAAAAGCCAAACCAAACCCAAAAAAAGTGGGGAAGGAAGAAATTGAGACCACGAGAACATTGCGAATGTGTGAGCATGTGTGTTTGTGTACACGTGTGTGCATATGTATCTATGTATTTGTGAACATGTACATATATGAGTGCACCTGTATGTGCATATGTGTGTGCATGTGTGAATGTGTACATGTGTACAAACCTGTGTGTGTGTGTGTGTGCATTTGTGTGTGTGGTACCAGGGATGAACTCAGGTCTCACAGAGATGAATCAAATCATGTACTGAAACCCCCTCCACAATTCATGATTGTTTCAAATGAGGCCAGTGCAGTATAATACTCTCCAAGTTACAACCTACGCTGTGCACAGATACACTGTGGACAGAAAAGGACAACACAGAAAACTGAGAGAAAATGCAGGGAGAATCTGGCCCAGGCTGAAGGCTGAGTCCACCCCTTCCAGGCACACGGCCTGCAGACAGGGACCTAGAAGAGAGGCTTTCTATTCCATCTGGGACTCAGGGGTGGGTTTGGGTCACACCCCGTGGTGCCCAGGGCTGAGTCGTGACTGCTCTCAGGGATCACTCCTGGTGGGACTTGGGAGACTGCAGTGCCAGGGCTGGAGTCCTGCCAATGGGCAAGACAGGCACTTAGAAGACTCTAAGCACTCAGGCCCTGAGAGGAGGCAATTTCTAAGTTGCCCTTTAAAGCCAGAACTTTTTCAGAATTTTCCAAGTCCAACTTTCTCCCTGATTCTAGATGGGGAAACGGAGCTAGGATGAGGCAGGCAAGGAAAAAGAGGGAAAGAACCAGGGAAGCAGGAAGGAACTTTGGATGGAAGGAGGAGGCATGGAGGGTCGGGAAATAAGCCTGTGTCTGATGGCCTGGGGGGAGATGAACTATCGGGGTCGGGGGGTGCACGATAAACTCTGAGTTGTGCTGACTGCCTAGCGTCCATCTGGACCACCAGGTACGGACTCTGGACTCTCTGGAAACTGAGCAGGCTAAGGGCCGGCCTGCTCACAGCCACCCTATGATGTCCTGGGATTTTGGTGGTAGGGTGGGGGTTGGGGGGTTCAGTGGTGGTGTCTCTGAGACAGAGTGTGTGTATGTATGGGGGGGTTATCAGTGGCAGTGTCTCTGAGACAGGATGTTGTGCACTGTGTCTCGGAAAGGCTTGGATTGTGGGTGCAAACGCTGTGCCAGAGGAGCAAGCAGGTCCGTCGGGAATGAGGCCCAGTCTGTGAGCAGGGCAGGAGAAGGCCTCCTGCCCCTCAGCTGAACCCATTTGAATCCCAGCAGCAGGGCTCTCCCCAGGATCACTCCTGAGCAGAGAGCCATGAGGATCCTCTCAGCACTGCCCACCCCAGACCCCGCAAAAAGAAAAAAAAAGAGCAGCTCAGTGGTGCCTGGGTGCACCCAAAAACTTTGAAGGGAGCCAGACCCAGCAAGAGTGTCTGATATTTCTGTTCTGGGCACCCCTCCCACTGAAAGCGGGAAACCTCACCACTGAACAAGCCTCTGGAGAGACCATGCAACCACAGGGGAACATCAGGCTCCCAGGAGCTCCTTGGATCATACTCAGGGACTTCCAGGTCTAAGTCTCTTATCTGGGCCAGGGAGGGTTGAGGGCTACCCTAGTGGGCCTGGGAGGCGGGAGTTCGGCTTCAGGGGTGCAGTGAGTTTTGGGGAGGTTTCTCCTGGAAATCAGGAGAGATGGTGTAAGAACCCCTAACTGGGGTTCCAGTGAGAGCATCTGCCTGCCCCTAATGGTATAGGCTGTCCTGGAGTTGGCATGCTGGGGAGAGGGTGATGTGGGGGGGCCCTCTGGATGGGGGGGGAGGAATGTGAGGGCTTGGGGTGTTTGTGACAGAAGAGGGAGGGGCATGTGAGCATACAAAGTGAGGAGCCAGGAAAGGAAGGACACTCCCCAAGGCGTGAGTCAGTCCCCTGCTCTGTGGGTGTAGAGGGTCAGTCCCCTGCCCTGAGGGTGGGTGTTGTGGGGTCAGTTTCTCCTGAGAAGGTGGAGTGCTCCTTAGAGGGCTGGTGACTCCCCTGACACGGCTCTGGCTGCAGTACAGGCTGACCACGGGCTGTGGTTTGGTTAGGCTGACTTGGGGGTTCAGGCCAGTGTAGGGGTACATATTAGTTCAGGGAATAGCTGGTCTGGGACGCAGCCTGGTAGAGGATCAGGATGAGGGGCTAGTTGAGGGGCCCATCTGGGGCAGAGACTCCCACCCCTAGGCCGTGTGTATTGGGGTACCCAGGTAAGTGCGTTCTGGGCTCTGTTCCCCCACTCACCCCATCCCTTCTCACCTCCGTGCAGGCGCGCGGGGCCGCAGGGGGGCCCGTGCGAGGGGCGTGGGCGCCGGACACAGGCCTTCCACAGACCCAGGTGCGCCGTGGAGCACGTGTCGTCGCCGTCGGGGCTCAGCTCCACCCAGAACTCGGTGCCCACGGCCAGCACAGCCAGTGCGACGCCCACGGCCGTGGCCAGCAGCGTCCACCGGGCCTTGCGCTCGCGCTCCGGGCTCAGCCCCGAGCGGGCTTCCCGTGCGCGCCGCCGGCTGGCCGCGCCCCGCCGCCTCTCCTCCTCTTGCAGGAAAAAGTTGTTCCACATCATCCTGGTCTGGCCGGCCGCGCCCGCCGCGGCTCCGAGCAGGACCCGGGGTGTTCGGAGCACCCACCCCGCAGCTGCAGAGGAAGCGCTGACCGCTAGGGTGGTCCCCGGAACGGGCCTCCGCGAGGATCTCGGAGGTTGGGGGACCCGCAGAGGGGGGCCGAGGTCCTCTAGGTGTGGCGGGGGGGACGGGAGGGCTGCCTGACTTAGGAGGGGCGCTCAGAATCTGGGGGGGGGGCGTGGAGACTCTTCTGCGATGTAGGGGGTTCCAGGCAGCAGGAGCGGCCTCGGGATTTCGGGGTCTCGGAGTCAGTAAGCCCCCAGGTTTGTAGAATTTGGCTGACTGCAAAGTTCTGAGTCGGGGTGCGGGACCCGGAGTCTGGCCAAAGGGAAGAGGTCAAGCCGCTCTGCAAACAGGAGAAAAGAGCCCCGGGGATCCATGGGGGAGCGTCCCTGGGGACCCACCGTGCCTTCTGCCCTCCCCGGCGCCCCCGCCGGCCCCCCGCCGCTCTCCTGCCTCCGCGCCGCCGCCTCCGCGCCGGCCTCCGCGCCGAGCCGGCAGCCGCCGCCCGCCGCGCCGCCCTGTGCCCTGCGCCCGCTATTTCGGGCGCCGTAAATAACCCGCACCTGTCGCCCGCGGCGTTGCCATAGGGACCCCGGGTATTTTAAGGGGCCGGAGGGGGTGGGGAGGAGGCCGCCCGGGGAGCAGGCGCTGTCCGGCCCAAGGACTTGTATGTCCTTAAGGGACTCAGAGGAGGGAGCGGGGCGGGGACTGCGTTTTGTCTGCGTTAGCTCCGTGTGCGTCCGACTGAGACTAGGGAATGGACGCCCCGGTCTGAGGGAGGAGGCCGGGGTCTGGACCCCTGGGCGTAACAGAAGAGGTTGGAGGTGGAGCCCTGGGATTGAGGGAGGAGGGCATGGGCTCCTAAGTCTGGAGGAGGAGGCTGGCTGGTGGCTGGACCCCTGGTTTGGAATGTTGACCCCGCTTCTGAGGAAGGATGCTGGAATTTTCTGTTTATTTTGGTTTGGGGGCCACACCCACTGGTGTTCAGGGCTTACTCCTGCACTCAAGGATCACTTCTGGTGTGCTCTGGGGACCATATGAACCCTGCTGGTAGGGAAGTTTCTCACCCCACTGTACTGTCACTGGGTCCCCCAGGCTGGAAGTCTTGACCCTGGGTCTGAGGGAGGAAGGTCCTAGAGACTCAAGTTTCAGGGCCCGTTAGTGAGGGGGCTGGAGGGCCAGAATGGTAGGAGGTGGGCTGAGGCAGAGGCGGGGCTGGAGGGCCGACATGGGGACAGAAGGGACAGAAGGCCATTGAACTGCAGGAGGGCGTGGGAAGCAAAGCGGCATTCCTCTTCACCAGTTTATTGGATGGGGGGCCCCAGGGGACCTTCCATGCAGACCAGCTCCCCAGGGGCAGGGGCCGCTGTGCCGAGTGGGCTCTTCTCGTCCTCCACTGTCCTCTCCTCCAGTCCGGAGGACGCCCACCTTTCACCAGCTCCTCAGCACCAGTTGGCGGTTGGCAGCAGCGGACACTGTTTGTCTGGAGCACAGCCTGGACTGAGGGTACTCTTGGGTGCTGAGCCCTGCCCAGCCAGGCCAGAGGAAAGGTGCCATCAGAGAATGAATGGAATGAATGAATGTGCCAGTGGATGAGGTGAGATGCAGACAGGCAGGCGCATTGCCTCAGTGCCCGCTGAGGGGCCCCGGGAACACCCTTCCCTCGGCCGGGCTCCAGGAGCACCCTTTCCTCTGCAGGCTGAGACACAGGCGCAGGGCTCTATCCAGGTTCTGTCCTGCTACAGGGAGCCGGTCTCACCCTCCCGGCGCTGGGGCTGAGCTTGGGCCCAGCTGAAGCTGTGCCAGCCGGCTCCAGCTTCTGGCTTGGGGCCCATCTCACCTGCAGCAGTAGCTGAGGCCCCACCAGCTCCCAGCTTGCATCCTGTGTGTGACCCCCAGTCTCTCTCCTTCCAGAGGGGGCATGGCCTCTGCAATCTTTTCACACCCGGAGGCCCCCCCTTCCTGTCCCCCCCCCTCTGCACCTGCGGACACAGACCTACTTCCCTTCAGGGTTCTCTGATTCCTGGCTTTCACCAGGATTCTTCCCACCTCTGCCCACCGCCCAGCCCCCCTCAGTTCCCCACAGGTCACCAGGTCCAGCGATGAGGCTTTAAATGTCTCCTCTGTGCTGGCGTTTCTGAATTTCTATTTCCAGCCAGGCCCTCTCCAGCTCTCCTGCCCTCCAGGCTACCCGATCCCCTGGCTTGGGTTTCTCAGGGCATCTCCCCCTGACCTGTCTCAGGAGGACATACAAGGCCTCCCACCCCCACCGCCTCCAGCCCTGGCACCCCAACTCCACTGTGTCCCCCTACCCTGCAGCCCCTCTCAGCACCCGAAGGCTGTTTCTGTTTCTCTGGCTCTACTGAGGTCCAGACCCCTCCTGTGCAGCGGGCACGGCTACCTTTTGGGGACTCTCCCTGCAGCTTCTCCCATGTACGTGTAAACATGTGGAGAACAGGCCTTGTGTGCAAAGCCCTCTCCTGGGACTGGAGAACAAATCAGAATTATTCCCTGGGGCTCCAAGACCTGCGCTAGGGCTCACCCCCACTCTCATGGGGTCACCCTAGGGGTGATCCCGTGACGCCACAGGAATCGTACCTGCTGGGGCCTTTGTGCCAGTCTTTTTGCCCCGTCCTGCTTCTAAGGCACTTCTGAACACCTGAAATTGCTTCTTTCCCGTTCCGGCCCCATCTGAGTGCCAGAGCAGCCCCCCTGCTTGTCTGTGCCGGCCAGATCCCGCAGGGCTGGGCGGCTCTTGGGCCCATTCTCTTTGTGCTGGAAGAACAGAGGGCACAGGAGCCAGGACGTGGCATGGCAGGGGGGCTGCCTCTTCGCACTGTCCCTGGCTCAGCCCTGAACCTCACAAAGAGAGAAGCCACAGCAGAGCGCCTGGTGGCTGCCTCTGAGGTGCCCACATCCCTGTGGGCGTTCTAGCTTCCACGGTGCTGGGGTTTCACTGCTCTGCATCTCCACCCGCCCTCCCTCTCCTTTCTGAATGAACTTATGCTGCCCACCTGTCTGTCGGCCCACCTGTCTCTAAAGCTCACAGCTCCTGGTCCCCTCTGCTTCACCCTTCCTCCTCTTTCCTTCCAGTTCTGTCCGCGCTCCACGTCTGCACCTATCCATCTGTCCCCTGTCTTAGGACAGGGCTGGGTGGGGACCACCAGGCGTTCCCTCCTCCTCTCTTCTTCCCACCCCCGTGGGAGCCCAGGAATGCTGTGGTAGCCTGCACACCCAGCTCATAAGCACCCCTCAGCAAATGAAGGTCAAGTGCTGCCAAGTCCCTCCACGGGGACCCCCACCTCACCCCCTATCCATCCCCACTCTGCCCCTGATCTACTCAACCTCCAACTTTTGTCCCAAGAGCTTTTATCGTGGGGTGCTGTCACCCCCTCCCTCTGAAGCCCAAGCTGGATGCTTCCTACTCCAGGAAATCACCCTGATTACCATCCCAGGTGCCCAGGCTGCGTCCAAGAATGCGTCATGGTCCTGCTCTGGCTCCAACTGGCTTGCCCTGCTTACACTGGCTTGGATGACACTCACTGTGTCACCTTTGTGGGTGGTGACTAGACCTCTGCGGGGCACATCCTCTGAGGTAACAGTGAAAGAACAGCAGACACGTGAGGCTAGAGGTTCAGAGCACAGTCCTGGAGTGGGCTGGGCTCCCACAGGCCTCCAATTCAATTCCTGACCCCCACCCCCAAATCTCATCTTAAACCCCTGCTCCAGTCTACAGCCTGAACCAACCTGACCTACAAGCCTCCTGGAGCCACCACCTGCCCTTCATCTGCTTCAGTCCAACCGGCTCATGGCACCAGACTCCTCTGGATGCTCCCTCCTGCCTGCCCCACAGCCTTTGCACTTGTTCTTCTCCACCCAATGCTCACCGGGCTTGTTTCCCATCATCCTTTCCATCTCCACTAAACACAGAGGAAGCTCACATGGCCTGCCAAGAGTGAGGCCTCGGGTGGGATCCCCAGCATTGCACACGATAATAATTTTTTAAAAAAATAATAAAGTGAAACAAAACACGAATAGCCCTTCCTTTCACACTGGGTCCCGCCTCCCGGTGAAGCCTCTCCTGGCACTGCAGCCTGAGCTCCCCCGCACGTTCCTAACGGTGACTTCCTGCTGTTTGGGCGCACGATTCTTTGGTTTATGTCTGTAAACTCTGGGAGGACAGCGGAGACCCCGGCCTTCTGCAGTGGGCCCGCCGTCCGCGGACCGATGGAGGGTGAGCGATGCCATGGCGTGGATGGACGCGCGCCTCCAGAGCCCGCCGCCCGTGGATGGATGCGCGTGAAGGTGAGCGGAGCCCGTCCCCACGGCCTGTCGTGTCCGCGCCCCTCCTCCGGATCCAGGTCTCCAGGGAGCCATGTGTGCCGTTGGTAGGGTCACTATGTATTCGTGGGTCACCGCCCCTCTCCAGGAGTCGGGCTGGGCCGAGTCCCTCCCCTCCCGCCCCGCCCCCACATGCACACAGCAAAAACATTAAAAAGAAAACATTTCAAAACTGCAAAAATACGCCACTGCCCGCCCCCGCCCGCCCCGCCCCACAGAAAAATAAAACACGACGCCCCCTCCCACGGGCGCCCTCCCGGGGTCCCTGCTCGGCCGGGAGGCCCCGCAGTCTCCAGCGCGCAGGCGGGAAGGCGGGGGCGCCCCCGGCCCCGCAGCCGCGTTGCACGCGCGCCCGCGCACGCGCCCGGCCGCACCCCCGGCCCCGGCCGCCTACACCGGCGTGGTCTTCCTGTTGAGCGTGCCCGTGTTGGACGCGGCCGCCTCCTTGGCCAGGGTCCCGGGCGCGGGCGCGGCGGGCGGCGCGGGCGGCGCGGGCGCGGGCGCCGACGGCGGCCCGGTGACCGTGACGGTGACGCCGCCACCCGCCTCCTTGGGGAAGGCGTTGTGCAGCGTGAGGAAGCCCGCCGCGCCCCCGCGGTCCCGCTCGGCGCCCGCCGCCCCGCCGCCCGCGCCCGCGCCCCCCGCCGCGCCCCCGTAGGCGCTGCCGCCGGCGCCCGCCAGCCCCGCGGCCACGCTGCCCTTGGACGGGTCGCGGCTGAGCGTGTACATGGAGATGTCCGTGGAGGCGAAGCCCGGGCCGCTGGGGCCGCCGGGAGACGCGTCCCGCGACGGCGACGGCTCGCTGGAGCGGGAGCTGGAGCGGGAGCGGCGGCGGTAGCGGAAGCGGTAACTGGGCAGACGGAGGATGGCCGAGGGGCCGCTCCCGCCACTGCCGCCCGCGCCCCCGCCGGCCTTGAGCAGGTCCGAGCGAGACTGGCAGTGCGCCTCGCGGCTGCGCTCGATGTAGATGTTGACGGCCAGCACGCCGATCACCTCGGCCAGGATGAACGACAGCCCGCCGAAGTAGAAGGACCAGCCGTACGAGTAGTGGTTCTTCTTCTCCTCGTCCCGCTTCGGGCCCGGCTCGCCCGCGTTGGCCGAGATGTACACGATCACGCCGATGATGTTGCTCAGGCCTGGGCGGGGACGGGCAGACGGAAGCCTCAACGCCACCCCGGCCCGGGGTGGACCCAGGCGTCCAGACCACGCCCTCTTTCCCTAGCCACACCCACTGGGCGGGGCCAGGCCACGCCCTCTTCCCCCAAGCCACACCCGCCCACAGGGAGTGCCCAGGTCACGCCCACCCTCCAAGCCACACCTACACGGGTGGGCTCAGACACCCAGGCCACACCCCACCCTCCTGCAAGCCACACCCACAGAGCGGGCCCAGGTCATCCCCGCCCCTCCAAACCACACCCACACGGGTGGGCCCAGGCGCCCAGGCCACGCCCGCCCCTCCAAGCCACACCCATACAGGCGGGCCCAGGTGTCCAGGCCACGCCCGCCCTCCAAGCCATACCCACACGGGCGGGCTCAGGCACCCAGGCCACGCCCGCCCCTCCAAGCCACACCCACATAGGCGGGCCCAGGCACCCAGACCACACCCTCTACCTCTAAGTCCCCCCAACTCGGGGTAGGCTCCCAGACCCCATCCTGGCCCCTCTAAGCTGCGTGCTCTGTGCTCCCCCCAGCGAGTCGTGGTTCCTGGTTCTGCCTCGCCTCGGACGATTTACACCCCTGCCCTCAGTTCAGACCTGGTCAAGGGTGGTCCCAGCGCCGGGCAGGTAAACTGCAGGTAAACAGTAGTTCCAGGGTTGCTGGTCTAAGCCCCACCCACAGACGGATGGGTCTGAATTACCTGAGAGGGTTGTAGAGCTGTTTCTACAGACCCTGTCCTATGTGAGCCAAGCTCGGTCCCAAACTCTTGCCCAGGTCTCAGCCCCGTTCCTGGGTGACCTAAGTCTCGAAGCCAGAGAGTCTGGATCCTGCCACAATAGTCCAGATGGCATACTCTGCCCCAAAAGGTCTAAGCTCCTCCCAGTCACCCAAGGCTCTGCCTACTGCAGTCTAAACTGCGTGCGTGCCCCCACTCCCAGATAGTCCAACACCAAGGTCTGAATCCAATCCTAGATGGACCCAGTCTCAGAGGTCTGAAATCCTATATCTAATGTGCACATAGTCCAAGTTTTTCCTCATGTGGTCTGAACTCCCGGTGCCTGGCCCACAGCCTGCCTGATGGCCTAGGTTCTGTCCAAGGCCCCGTTTATTTAAATCCACCCTATTGGCGCTCCCTCCAGGTCAGAGCTCGCCCCCAGCCGGGAGTGTGGTCTATACCCTGCTTTATGCATACGGGTTTTGTTCTAGCTCATCTAATCACTCCAATCTTGAAGAAATGATTCTGGGTTTCCCTGCCCCACCTTAAAGTGACAAACCGAGTTTGCCCCTCAGCCCCACATCTGCTCGGTTCAATTCTTGCAGGGAGACAGGTATATGCCTTGACTCTGACCCAGCGAGGCTTCTTCCCTTGATATTTCCAAGCCTGGACTTCCCCTGTGCCAGTCTGAAATTCGTCAGGGTTAGCCCGCCTCTATTTGAAGCACGCCTTCCGGGTCCTGCAAGCCCCGCCCCCGTGGTCTAGGACTGGCCCCCTCCCCTTGGGCTAGGTCTAGGCGGCCCCGCCTCCCAGGTCCTCCAAGCCTCGCCCCTCGAGTCTAGGACAGGCCCCGCCCCTGTGGATTATAGACAAATCCTTAAAGCAGCTCCCCGTATTAAATCCTCCCTCCTTCTACTTCTGGATTTCTTCCCTCCAAAAAAGCTCTGTGCCCTCGAATATTTCAGGACTATTCATTTCAGGAAGAAAGGGTAGGGGCTTCATGGGTCTTAGGGACACGCTCCTCTAGGCTCCGCCTCCGTAAAGCCTCGGATCTTCGGCCCCACCTGTGCGCGAGGCTTCAATCCCTGCCAGCCTCTCCATTCTCAAAACGGCCCTGGGCTCAAGGGACCACCCCTCTCAGGCTACTCCACCGTATCCAGAATCTTGGGCTACCTGGTCTGAGCTCCCCGGGTCCGCTCCCTCTTCAGCAAGGCTACACCTACCTCGCCCAGCGGGTGGCGATGGAGCTTGTGAAGAACCCAGGAGGGCTTTGGGACCCCAGGGGGCGCCCGGGCAGGTGGCTTTGCAGGCATACGCGTGCACGCGCGCGTACACACACATGTGTGCACAGGTGGGCGCCCTGGCCTGCTGCCTGCCCCCCTCCTTCTGCCTCTCACCTGCTGCCACGAACAGGATTCCGGCGCCCAGAATGATGTTCCTTTTCGACTTGTAGACCCTCGACGCGGCCACGCACACACCCCCAAGCAACAACAGGATGGCACTGAGGATAGGGAAGATGCTGGAGGCCCGGACAACTCCTGCGAGGAGGAAAGCAGAGGAGGGGAGAGAGGGGTGGGCGCGAGGACAGTCGGATGCACCGCCCAAGCCCCCTCCCCGTCACCCATTAGAGCAGCACGCGCGCTGCGCCCCCTACTTCAACCCCCACGTCTGCCTGGGCTCTAGTCTACTTATTAATTTTTGCCTCATTCTTTCTCTTTAAACTAGCTCGTTTTCTCGTCCCGAATTCCTCTTCCTCCTCTTTGTCCCTTCCTTTCCTCCTGGGGAGGGGGGGGTGTTGTTTTTCTCGCACCTACAGTAGTTATTCCCTCATTGCTGCTCTCAACAGCCCCTTCTCTTATTCTCTTAACTTTCTCTCTCTAGGGACCCGCTCCTCTCCTTTTTTCTCTCGCCTGCATCTCTTTTCCCATATCCCTCGTTCCAGCAATTATCTTAATCCTCCGCCACAATTTCTGCCTGGCTTTCATCGCTAAGTTTCATCTTGTCTCCCCTTTTCTCTATCTTCATCTCTGTCTCTCTCTTCCCCCTTTACCCCTGCCTTCTCCCCCAGCCCCTTCCCTGCCCAGCTTCATCTTTCGTTCTGGGTTTCTCTCTCTCTTCTCCCCGTCTTTTTCTACTTTCACTTCTTTCTTTCCTCCTAGACCCGTTCGTCTGTCTCACCGGTCTTAAACTCTGCAGTCCTTGCCACCCACCCTCCAAACCCAGGCAACCAGATTTTGGGATTTCCGAGCCCTCCAGCAGCCAATCATAAAGCAGGATTTGCCGCGTTCGGGGCTGGCCACCAATCACACAGCTGGCTCCAGGCAGCGCCCGAGAGTGGCCAATCGCGCTGCAGGTAGCCTGACAGCTCTGGCGCGCAAGGACCAATCCTGGCCCAGAAATCGACAACCAGTCCTGGCGCTGAGCTGTGAAACGGCCAATCACCGCACGGGATCCCCCCACAACCCGCCCCCAAAGGGAGGGGGAAAGGGGCACCAAGCCAATCGGGCCCCAGGGGATCGCAGAGTCTGCATTTCTATTGATTGGAAACTTCATCCCTTATTGTCGATCTAAGAGCCGCCTGCGCTCAGCCCCGCCTCCCCCGCCCAATCCGGAAGCCCCCCGACTCTGTCTCAGAGCCCCCCCGCCGCCACCCCCCCCCCCACGTACGGAGCAAATACTCCGCGCTGTCGTGGTCGTAGTCCGTGTCCTCCGGGAAATGGTTTATCTTCACGCAGACGCCTCTTTTCAGCCCTGGAGAGGGACGGGGACGGGGGACTTAAGAGTTGGGAGAAACCGGGTGAGAGAAGACCCTCCCTTTCCCCTAACCCTTTCTCTCTCAGCACTGACCATGAAAACAAGAGTTCCTGGCACCCAATGCTGTCTCGGCATCTGAGTCAACCTTGCCAATTCTGGCCTCGGAGTCCCACTAAAACTACTAAATGGAGTGCGGGGCGGGAGAAAGACGCATCAAAGCTCATTTAAAAAATCACAAGGACCCTTGCGCTCTCGTCTCATCTCTCTGGCCTTTTGTTTGTCTTCTCTAAGAAAGGAGGTGATGGTTTCAACAATGTCACGGTGCCCTCCTGGCTCTAAAGACTTGTTGCTGGGTCTGAGAAATGCGTGGGAAAACAAAGAAGTGCATTTCCCATGAGGCCGTGGGATCAGGGCAGCCCCGGGGCATCGTGGGAGTTGTAGTCTCTCTGAGCCTAGGAAGCAGAATGCAGAGGGTCTCATTTGAAATCTTCTGAAAAGTTATGGAACTCTAGGTCACGTTCAGGATTATCTACCTCCTCCAGCCCCAAATCCTGTCCTCGGAAACTCGTAACCTCTGAAAACCCATGCCTTATGTTGGTTGATGGGTGGAGATGTACGTCCATAGGTATACCTGTGAGTACAGTGTCTCTCCAGTTCTCCGGGTTCCCTCCAGGCCTTTGCTCATGCTGTGCTATTTGTCGTGATGAAAAATATCCTGGAACTGGGCGACCCACGGGACATCCCTGATGGAGAACTTCACCCCTTCGGGGATCTCACTCGTGTTCCATGCGCGGACCCCCCCCCCCCCCCCCAGTTATGATTGGTCTGCTCTCCTTACGCTCCCCCGACTAATGTTGGGTCCGCTCTCCTTATCCCCCTACTAATGATGGGTCCACTCTCCTTACCCCCCCCCACTAATGATAGGTCTAGGTCTGCTCTCCCTACTCCTCACTTATGATGGGTCTCTCTCCTTATCCCCCACTAATGATGAGTCCGCCTACTTACCCCCACTAATAATGGGTCCTCTCTCCTTACCCCCACTTATAATGGGTCTGCTCTCCTTATCCCCCCCCACTAATGATGGGTCCTTTCTCCTTACCCCATACTAATGATGGGTCCGCTCCCCTTAACCCCTCTCACTAATGATGGGCCCGCTCTCCTTACCCCCTCCACTAATGATGGGTCCTCTCTCCTTACCCCCCACTAATAATGGGTCTGCTCTCCTTACCTCCCACTAATGATGAGTCTGCTCTCCTTATGCCCCCTCACTAATAATGGGTCTACTCTCCTTACCCCCCCCCCCCCCCCGTAATGATGGGTCCATTTTCCCTACACTCCCCCCCCCACCGCCACACACACACACATGAAAGACGGGTATGCTCCCCTTCTGGGCACAACAGCACTCAATGCTCTTGGCTTTTCCACATGCCATAGGTTAATTTATGGCCTTCCTGCTGGAACAGGCAGACACTAAGTAGCATGGGGTGGATATGGGTCCATTCCCCTATTCCCTGTGTTGCCTGCCATAAGAGAGGCCTCAGGAAGTGAATAGAATAAATTAATGGAATAATGAATAAACATGAGGACAGCAGAAGGGCAGGATCATGGCAGAGAGTGAGTCTGGGAAAGGAATAGGGAGGAAAGAATGGATAGGGAAGAGGAATTTACAACAAGTAATCCGCTAAGCGCTGACATGTCATCAGAGATTCCCAGACTTATGTGTCCTTCCACCCTCCTTTCCAGGAAAAAAAATTCCCCAAAATTTCCCGCCACCCCTTTTTGGGGGCTTGTTCTTCAAGCCCATGATCTTCCTTGAAAATGTCTCCCACTGTCTCTTTTCTAGTTTCTTTGCTTGTTGCTTATTTCCACTCTAGGAAAGTCCATGTTCTCCCTTGAACACCTACTTCTCTCTTTCTCTCCCGTCACATCTTTCTAAATAAATTTCAATAAAATTATCTTACTTCACCCCCCAAAAAAAATCAGAAATAAATCTACCTTTTCTAAGAAAGTGTCCAAACCAACCCCATTGCTCCATCCCCCACTCTGGGAAATGCAATGTTAAATGAGTCTTATTTGTTCATACAGAGCTCCCCTGACTGCATGCAGTGGGAAATACTAGTGGGGAATCTGGGTCACAGCGCTTGATAAAGAGGTTGGACCCCACTGTGATCCTGTTGACAATACTTGGGCAAATGAAGCTTCAGTCTCTTTACCTATGAGAAAGGAGATAACAGAACCTACCTCGCCAGATTCCCGTGAGGGTTGAATCCAGGTAAAGAGAGTTTGTACTCTGCCAGTCTATGAACTCATTATCCAGATGACAAAACAGAGGCATAGAGCGTTCCCCCATTCACAGCAGGTAGGAGGTAGAAACAGAATTCAAACCCCAGCCGTGTCCCTCCGCAGGAGCTATTCACCACTGTGTTCCCAGCACCCAGGATATGTCTCAGTACATAGTACCATGCAGACTTTAAGGAAACGATTTAATTCACCAATGAGCAGGGAAAAAAAGATGCTCGGGGTTGGAATGATAGGACAGTGGGGAAGGTGTTTGGCTTGCACATGGCCAACCTAGGTTCGATCACCTGCATCCCATATGGCCCCACAAGCACTGACAGGAGTAATTCCCGAGTGCAGAGCCAGGAGTAACCCCTGAGCATTGCTGGGTATGACCTTAAAAGCCAAAAAAAAAAAAAAAGAAAAAGTTGTTCAACACCAGTAACCATTAAGACTCATGAAAAGAAAAAAAAAAGACTCATGAAGAAAATGATAAATTGGGCTGGAGATATAGCACTCTTACACAGAGCTGATCTCAGTTCAATCCCTGGCACTGCATGCAGTCCCTGGAGCACCACCGAGAGTGAGCCCTGAGCCCTGAGCACATAGACAGGTATGGCCCAATTCTCCCCACACCCTCCAAAAATAAGTGACTTAAAGCCACAGTGAGATGCCACCTCATACCCTTAGGTCGGCTGCTGTTTGGGGATGGAGGTTTGGAGATCATATCAGACAGCCATGTGCAAGGCCAGTACTACAGCCCTGCTCCAGCTCAGGGTAGCTACTATTAAAATAAAAACAAAAGTAACAAGCTGGTGAAAATGTTGCGAGAGAGGCCACCTCAGGTTTGGTTCCTGACACCACATGGTTCCCTGAGTGTGTTCTGTAGGAGAACTACCATCAACCCCCCAAAAATAAGTGAAAGTAAGGTCTCTAAAAAGTGTCTTTTGGGCTCCAGAGCAATAGGACAGCGGGGAGAGCACACAACCAACCAGGTTCTATTCCTGATACCCCATATGGTCTCCTGAGCCCACCAGGAATAATCCCTGAGCATCAAGACAGGAGTACGCCCTGATCACTGCCAAATGTGGTCCAAAATAACAAAGCCAAACCAAAAGCATAGAATAAAACTAGAAAGTATTTGTCTGTCCTTGTTGATGGAAATATGAATCAGAAAAACCTGAAGTGACCAGAATGACCATCAGTGAGGGAGTAAATGAATACTCGGTGATCAGTACCTACAATGAAGGTCATGCCAACTACTGCCACTTGGGCTGGAGAGAAGCACTACCTGCAGGGGCTGCCTTGTACGCCACCTACCTGGTTCCATTCCCAGCACCACAGAGGATCCTGCTGGTACTGCCAGGAGTGATTGCAGACCACGGAGCCTGGTGTAAGCTCTGAGCACTGCTGGGCATGGTCCAAAACCAAAACCAGCACCTGCCACCATAAGGGTGAACCCATTTTCCTGAGCAAATGAAACTAGGCATACAGAAACGCGTATTGTATAGGTTCATTCATAAGCATGTAGGGCTTTGGCATCTCTCCTGAAGAGGCCACGTGCCTCGTGGCATGTTTGGGCACCCTAGGATGGGAATGACTCTTTGGTTGTGGACAGATCAGCAGGACCTTGAAGACAGAAACCCTGACCACTGGGCTTGGGCAGAGCAAGACCTTGAACACTTGAATATGTGAATATGTGACTGAGCGTCTGCAGGAAGTGTCCTTGTCATTAGGCTTGCTGTGTGCACTGCCCTTATAAGACTATGGGGGCTGGCAACAAAAGAGAGAGCACAGCAGAGGTGTATAGTTAGAAAGGGTACAGCTGATGGAGCCCAAATGATCATAAACAGAGAAAGTGCTTGCCCTGCTTGCGGGTTCAATGCCCGGCATCCCATAGGGTTCCCAACCACCACCAGGAGTGATTCCTGAGTGCAGAGCCAGGAGTAACCCCTGAGTTTCACCAGGCGTGGCCGAAAAATAACAGAAATGAAGGGGTAGAGCTATGCTGCTGCCCCAGCTATAGAGATGAGCTCAGTGATGGGAAAGAAAGAGGGGACAGTTGCCCCCGACCTCTGGGAGCTGCTGCCACTGAAACAAGCTCCCAGGGCACCTAAGAAAGCTGGCACACAGACACCCCGCTGCGGAAGGACCCCCCGCAAGGTGCCCTGGATTTCTCCCCACATGGCGCTTTCCTCAGAACCCTCCCACTCCTAATACCAGACTCCTGGGATGCCCCACAAGAGACACAGAGAGAGCAGACCCACAAACCTGTACTGGCCCCCCATGGACGTGAGGCAGGGCTCCTACAATAAGGCACCCACCAATGGCAAAGACAGGAAGTCAAATGGCAGCTCCCAGGGACTAGAAGGACCTGGGACTGGGAAATCATGTGCGATGGAGAATTTTTGTCCTTTCACAAGATGAGTTCTCCAGGCTGGAGAGATCCTGCAGGATCAAGGTGCTTGCATGCACACTCTGACATTGCCTATGGGCTGCCAGGAGTGGTCCCTGAGCAAAGAGCCAGGAGTAACTGAGTGCCACCAGGAGGGGCCCCCAGAAAGAGAGAGAGAGAGAGAGATGAGTTCTGGAAGTTAGGAGCAGGTCAAAGTAAAGGTAATAGGCACCAATGAACCAGGTCCTTTTTTGGGGGGTTGGGGGGTGGTCACACCCGGCGATGCTCAGGGCTTATTCCAGGCTCTGCACTCAGGAATTACTCC